CTAGCCACTACAATTATTCAATGTTTAGTTATCAGTATTGAATCATGGGTTGTTATAGTTAAGATGTCTGCTTTTTAGTCATCCTATGCAGCATTTTTAGACCTGAGAGGGAGGCGATTGATGTGGGTCTAAACCTGCTTCAGGTCAAACGTGTAAAATAAAATAATGTTACGATTGTGAATCAAAGTTCATTGTCCTGAAAACCTGCAGGTATGAATTTTGTAGTGATGATCGATGTGTGATCTCAATCGTCTGTGTAATAATAATAATAATAATTGCAAATAAAATTGAAAATGCATTTACCTGGAAATAGTAAGACCATATCAACTGAAAATTTCATTATTAATTCAGGTAATTTACTTTGTCTCGTTTACTGCTACGATGTGGTGGTGACGGAAAAAGTGGCTGAGACCGCAATGGGTCAAAAACCCATGACTGGTCACATTAACCCGGCTAGATCCAGAAATACGAATGCAAAAAATGCTGCGAGACAAGGACAAGGATTAATGGAAGATAATGTAGAAAAACAAAGTCGTGCTTTATGAGCATCTGTAGACAACGTCTAGAAAAAACCAACTTTTCAACATGGTATGGTGTTTGAACAAAACAAATGACAATAGATTGAGTCCCCTATAACGCAGTGGCAGAAATGTATTCCACTTCAAAAATGCTTCTGAACTTAAAGAAATTTAAGTGAAATATTCCTTTGATGTTTTGACTAAGCAACATAACTAACTCTATCGCACACACTATAAATCGATGTCTATGGACTTTGCCTAATGTGCTAGATACCGTGGAACAATTAGCGTTTCAGGCCACTCGGCCAAAAAAATAGGTGATGCCGAGACATGTTAATTTGGGCGTAGACTACATCATTCCTCACATGTAATTTTAAGGTTTGAAGGGAAACTACAGGTTCTACAGGAATTAATTGCGAGAGACACAAATAAAACGATAGTAAATACTGACGGTGCAAATGGAAAAGGCTAATTAAAGTGCTTGTTCAGGATAAACAATCCTCACACCGTGTGATTTACCATTGTGCTTTCACAGATCCCTTTAACCATCTGAATTTCTCCTAACTCCGGTTGACTCTCAATCAAAAGCCAATACAGCGAATACACTTCATGCGCAAAAACGTTTTCGTTGATCCTCTCGGATCATCTCATTTGTAAAACCTGGGTCTTGATTTTGCCTAGTAAGATATACAGATGGTTAAAATGTACACCATTTAAATGGCCTGAAATTCAACTGATGAACCCGACAAATTCATTCATTCAATTTAATTTCAAGGAAAATTTTAAAATAAACTGAATTTTTACGTCTTTGATAAGAGGTTCTGTACACTGAATCAAGGTGCAACCCCAAAAGTGTACTTCTTTGTTCTTATTAACTAGTCACTTAGATGAAAATTTGCTGATTTATCGTTTGGTTTTAATTAGATTGCACCAGGGGTATTTGTAAGTTGAAGTATAAGTTGATAAACTGACAAATTTAGAAATAAATTTGACTTGAGAAATTTTCATGAGCAGTTTTAGTTTATAAGACGGATGCGTTAGATGGAATTATGCTAAAATGTTTGACATATCAATTTAGTGCACATAGGTCTTCAATGCAAGACAAATGACAGAACCCTGTATATTTCTGTTTGTCTCATTGCCAGTAACTGAACTTTTAGTCTACTCAACATTGTTACAGTTGACAATACCAAACAGGAAGCTCATTTAATAAATTAAAAAAGAACAAAACAGCTGTTTAAAGAATTGTGTGATAAATGCACGTACAAAAAACAGTATAAATGTTATCAAAATGGAAGTACTTCTGAAAGTACCAACATCAATTTATTAGACGGAGTGTTATCCAGAATTGAAACTTATGGCTGCTTCATTTGGAGGCTCACAGTCAGTTGCATGGCTGGACCTCAGACAAAGTTGACTTTAAAATCTGAAGAACATTGTAGAGGTTAAGCATGAATGGTTTAACCAAATGCTGTCAATAAGAACGCCTTTTCCTGGTCCCAAGAAGAAATTCCGAGGCAATTCTCTGCATTCATTTAGCTCATGTTAAATTCATGGTTATGTATTTTTGATAGCAGGTTAAAATTTAAGGTTAAATTGTTGCGACTGGTAGCTTGCAAAAGTTGGAAAAAAAAGTAATTGATACGGCAAGTAAAGTGCCGTCTGAATGAACGTCCCATTCGATCACTCACTCATAAGGCGGAAGGTAAGGGAGTAATCATCCACATGTTGCAGCGATCGGATGTAGAGTAGTGTGCAAAATCTCATCGATAATTCTTAGGTTGCTTTAGTTAAATAGGTGCACCTCAACTTTAATGTTGACTTTCAGTGATACGCAAACAATGAAGATAAATGGTAGCCAAGACAACGTGCATAAAAAGTAGTTGGAACCGGGTTACTAGTTTTATTGTACGAGAGAACGCAAAATGGTCATTTCCTTTCCTTGATTACGCCATGACAATTTACCTGATAGGTTCCGCTTGGTTCAAATTCATCTGATAAGAAACAAAACTACTGGAGGTAACTTACAAGATAGCAATGCATATTGACAAGTTTTGCCTGAAGAGTACAATTGACAATGGATTGGATTTTAAACCTCCTTTAAAACGATCCTGCAGTGGTACGACCAAGCGCACTTGTCAAATCAATTTTCACCGTAGTGGGATGGCTGGATTACGGCACTGGGATTGCTTCGGCTTCCTTGATTATTAGCTAAATTCCAACCCTATAACTAACCCAGAATTTATTAATGATTTTCTGTAACGTCCAAATCAATGGATAACCTGAACTTATTTGCTCAATCTATGCGGCTTCCTCTAACTTACACTCTTCCCACTACAGAATGCAGCCGAAATAATTTTTGTTTGGAAGTCCAGTGTACCAAAGTTTTCAATTTTGGTACACTATTGTGGAAAACATTTACCATTGTATTAATATTTTCTTTCGACTCCTTCAACCTCCAGCCACATTGAGCATGCAGACAAAAAGTACTATCATTCGTTCGAATGATAAAGTCAAGATGAATTTTCTTGGGAGTGACATCGAAAGAGTGCAGATCTCAACTCTCTAAAAAAATATCAAGGTCCCATTTTGAACTCATATTAGGCAACCGGATAGAGAGGAAGACAGGTAAATTAAGATAACCAGTAATAGCATATCCACCATTAAGACCAAGACTGCAGATCACACAAACGGCAGAGCAATTCTCAAAACAATCCCATTTTTGTAGACAAAATGCGATTCGTGCAAAACTTTGGCCTAACACAAGGAATAAATCCTCGGGGTGGTGCGTTTTATAGGTTACACTGAAGGAAGAATATAACAGATCTAGTTTGAAGTTTAGGGTGACAGTAACCTTTTTCCTCTGATTTCAAGTCGCTCAACAATACTGTAGCTTAGATCTATGTACCAAATACTTACACCAGAATATGAAAATTTATGCACACAAGTAATTAAAAGTAATCCAAATTAGGATAATGCAAATAAGAAGTAAACGGGAGATGAACACATAGTGCTCGCCAGGCACCAGGAAGGCATGTAAGTCGTTGTGTACTGGCTAAAATGCCGTTTTTTGGTGGTTGATTATGGGTGAACGTCGGTTCTAAATAAAGCGATTTTTAGGGCAGACGGACGCAAAAACCACTGCCCGAGGCTTTTTGACCACAGGAACTTCGTGTTACGTAGAACAAGTAAATGGGCTTATCCGGTAATTTTTCGCCACTTGTGAGATCCGATACTCAATTATCTTGACCTCAAACATGATAACTGAAAGCCTATCTCAGGAGCTTCAATGAAGGGCTTTATATCAAAATGTAGTCCTCATACAAGTAAATGTATGTGCTAGTTTTTCTACTGATTCAGTTTCTTTCCAAGGTTTTTAACTGAGATACTATGGTCAAAATGTGACAGCATATTTAGCATATTTGAAATATTTTTTTTAATTTCACTCAACGGGCAAGTTACAGCTAGAAACACATGCGAAATTCACGAGTTACTCATTTAATGCACATTATAAGATGAAAGTTATAAAGTAACGATGGTGACTAAGCTCTCATAATTTATCAGATTTTAACTTTTACTGGACAACTTTGATGTTCTAAACACAAAATCGTGTAGTCATAATTAAAATGTATTTCACGTTTCAAATTAGCTACAAACTAGAACAATGAAAATAGCTCAAATGAGGATACTAATATTTGGGTTTTCGAAATGGAACACGCAAGACTGCATTTTGTCGTCTTAACTCGTCAAAATCATTCAACTTATCATGTATGTAAATCTTACTTAATTCAGTGCACCTTAAATCTGTCAGACTAAAGGGCAAGTTCTGTTGTCCGCTCTCCTCAAAGATGCTCGTCGCGAACCTCTACATATAACTACGTATTGTTTTAAACCTTGACAAATATGAAGAATGGAACCTGTAGCAGAGTTACCATATTGAAATACCGAGAAGTATTTGTACACTCGTTTAAAATTGATGAATTTTCGAAGTGCCGAAATTCTACCACAATCGCTGTTTTTCATTGCACCATACAATAGTGGAAATCCCACATTTAATTTTAATAATTTACAGAATGTGGGACAGCACTTTCAAATCTGTGTTATTTGGTATCTCGAAATAAATGGGCCTGAATATTATAAATTTGTCAAATTCAGATTGACTTCTACTCTATGTAGTGCTAATAATTGTTCTTAATTTCTTTAATTTGTTCATTCTCTTAATAAAATAAAATTTTTAATTGCAAACAAGAAAAAAACTATCTTTATATTCTAAAAGTTATGACAGGCCATCGTCACTCACCCACTTGTGCCTATGATCGCCATCTTCGCCGAACCAATCAGGGTCACAAGCCAATGACGCATGCCTTGGCTTGGCCAATCGTATTTTAACTTGTCCGAATGTTATTTAAGTAGGAAAGGTGATGCACTGTGTGGCGTCGCATTCGTTTGCCGTGTGTTGGACTTGGAACGACTAATGTGAACATGGCTACCTTTCTTAGAAGCAACAGAAGTATCGTTTTGACAGGTGTTTTCGTCACATTTCTTTTCCTATTACAATTATGTAACGCAAAGGTCGAAAATACCTCAGAATACGAATATGATCCCGAAAAAACAATCGAAGAAAACTTTTTCTCCTATTCTCAATTCGGTCTATACTACTTCCGTCGAATACACTTTTTTGACAAATACTTTACAATCGTCCTCTTCGCAATCGGCTTTCCAGGAAACTTCATCTCTTTCCTAGTGTGGTCAAGTAAACGGATGTACCACGGCAATTCGGCAGCTGTTTATCTTGCAGCTCTTTCCCTCAACGACACTGTTGTTCTAGCCATAGCCTTGTTCCGTGACTTGACAAAAATATGGGATGTACCTTTTTACCCCACGCCCGGTTCGTGTGAGGTGTTGGAGACAATAACACTCACTGTCCAGTACGCTTCGCCCTTGTTCGTTCTTGCCTTCACTATAGAACGTTGGCTTGCGATTTGTCAGCCCTTTATGGTTTCTCGTATTTGCTCAGTTCAACGTGCTGTCCGAATTTGCATTGGCATCATTGTGCTAACACTCCTTGTCTGTTCTCCCATGGCGTACCTCATAGGCACCGATCCACTAGGATGCCAGCCAAGGTCCTGGGCTGTGTTTCATTTCACAACTACCCTCGAGATACTCTATTCACTGGTCACTCCGCTCTTGGTGCTTACTTTTAACTGCTTAGTGATCAATGAAATGTCGAAAATCCGGCGTTCTCAGATGATGAAAATGCTTCCCGGAACTAAGAGGAACAGTAGAAGCGGGAGTGACATGGACGAGGTTGGATTTTTCCGTCGACTGTTCCGAAAATCCAGGGAGAGGAGATTGGAATCAGGGGTTCCAATGACGGTGGCGCTAACTAAAGACGCTTACAGACGAAAGACTGAAATTGACTCTGGTGGCGGGGATGCGTCGTCGCCCAAGTTCAAGTCAACCACCATCATGCTACTGGTAGTCAGCTTCTATGTGATTATTGCAACTCTGCTAGGTGGCCTCTGGTACGTGCTTGACATCAAATTCACCATCGAGGCCTACGCCAAGTGGAAAAAGCGCCAAGTAAGTTCTACCTAAAGCCAACATGTCAAAGTTGGAGGAAGTATATTAATTTCGTGGGTACCCGTACATATTAAAAGTTAACTGCATAGTGTCGCCTCTTTTGGAGTAGAAAATAGGTTTAAATCATCAGTTTAGCCTATATCATATCCATATTTTTACTGGCAAAAACTAGTTCTAGGATTTTCTTAAAAAAATGGCTTTGCTGATAATAAACTATGGAACATCGTAAATATGCCTAGCAAACATCCGATATTCTCCTATTCTCGATTAAACTAGAATAAGCACAAAATGTGCGCTTACTTCCAGAGTCGCCTAATTATTAAATGGGTTCGACTTGGTCTATGTAGCTCATGTATTGTTTCATGGGCCAAATCTGACAATCTTTTGTATATGTTGTGGTTGAATGAATTTTAGGTATCATAATTAAGAAAGTAATCAATTGTTTACTTTGATTATTCTGTTTACAATTTCACTCCACAACAGCTAGACCAATTTATTCGGTTCCATCATTTTAACTCCTCGACTTTAGATTCAGCCTTTTATAAAAGTTGAAGGGCTCCTGTCTAAAAACTTTGTGCAAATTTTGGGGAAAACATTTGTACGCAATATGAAGTATTTATTTACATGCATTTAGATGTCATCTCATAGTTCAAATGCCTTAATAAAATCCGTTAAGCAAAATCAATCACTCCATTGACTAAATGGACATGTGGAACATTCTGGTGATTATTTCACCGTGTGAGCCTAAGTAATCAGCCTTCATTTTGGACTGGTAAATCTCACTTACTGACATTCGCTAGAGTAGATACATTGCGTTTCCTTTCTCCTTCACAAAGCTACAGCTTAGTTTTAAAGTTCCCATATAAATGCTAATTTCTTTAAACAAACTTCAGTTACCAAAGGTAGCAAATTTTCAGACCACCATTAAGATACAATTAAATGGAGCAGAATTATGATGAAGAAAAGTGAATTTTATTGCTGGACTAAGCGGAACGTATTAGTAGGTGTCTTCTCAGTGTGAATTAAAAACGTTCTCAAAATAATCTCTTCTGGTTATGGACAGGTTGTGAGAGGCACCTTATTCTTCCAAACCAAATTACATATGTATTTGTAAGGGAAATAAGCATTTTATCATGGTCGTGCCCATGGTAGAACAGATCGGCCACTACAACAGATGGAGAAACTGCTACACCTGTGCGGAATTTCCGATGGCGCTATGGCTAGGGCAATTCGCTTAATGAGTGGTGGTGCGTGCGTAACTGTTGCATGCGTGGGATTGGGCCTCGGTCTGTTCAGTGAACTTTGCACTGCGCACTGCCCTTCAGGCAGCTAGCAGCACTCTAGCACTTGTGGCTAAGACCATGACAGCGGAGGCCAGGTTCCTCATCTGATTGTGACCAGGACTGCAACTGGCGCATTTCACCAAAATCTAGTCGGTGCGCTTTAAACGGAATAGGATTGCCAGTTCAAGCAAATATGGACACTAGTTTCTAAAACGCTGTGGAGGGTGGTTCGGCTGGTATTTCTTGAAGTAAAGTAGCCAATTCCGATGATCTGGTCTTTCATTTCCGGTTGTCTTCTTACCTCTAAAGGTAGAAAATCAACTGATTCTAATATTGCAGAATATGAAGTTTCAGATCGGTGCAAATGAAGGCCTCACGATTGTGCATATAAGGTTACCGAGATGAAAATACAGGAGTTTGAATAAGGCAAAAATTAAAAAAATTTCCAATCACAAGCCTACTTTTCTTGATATTTTTACTCTTCTTTCTACATTGATAAACTTCGGAATAGTGTAATAAAAATAAGTTTCATTTCTTCAAGGGAATGTTGAGGTAAACAGCCTTTTTGCATTTGAAGCAGTTAGTACACCAAGGATTATGACATGGCATAAATATTAACCCAAGACTACAAATTATTCAAGCGGAGCAAACTAGTATGTGTTTTTGTGTGTGTGGATCTTATTACAAGAGTTCATGCGCAAAATCAGCTCGTAACAATATCTCATGTATCTCATTTATGTCACCGCCAGCCAGATTCTTACATTGTATCACGCGAATGGTAATTTACCTCAGGTCACTTAATTCTGCTATCCCAGGTATAGGTTTCAAGCTAGCATAAACCAGATGAATTGGGGTCACTTTTGTATCATCGATAGCATCATTCACTGGTGTTGTGAGTTTGCAGATCGTCTGGCTTCAATGTTTCAAACCGTTTTATAGCTAAAGGTTTTGAGAAAGTTTTCCTAAGTGGCATTTTACGGTATCAGTTGACCAGCATGGGTTTCAGGCTCTGCATCGACATTATTATACGGATAAATCCCATTAGCATGAAATTTTTTTTCAGAAGAATACGTTTTTAATCTTAAACAAATAATCGAAACCCCCAGCCTTTTGTCACTTGAATTAGCTAACTCATGATTGTCCTGTCCTTACCTTTGTGTCCCTTAACCTTTCCTAACCACATGGATTATTAGGCTGGTAGTGGCAAAACATGTCAAGCCACCTGGTTTGCTCCGGGTTTCATAAATTCTCGTAATTCCTTCTTTTTCTTGGATGTATCAGTCGTCCTCTTTCGAAACCGCATTCCATCAAGTCCACACTTCATGGGAAGTTGATGTTGGCAGGTGAATTTCAAAATTCATCGCAAAAGTTATGGTTCCTTAATTATTGTACAAAGAACAATAACTCCAGAAATGGCTTTTAATTAATGCATTCGCCTACTTACCGCATTCAAACTAAAATTGACATTTGCATTTGGCAGTGAATTAGCTAATCTAAATAAATAAGCGTTCAACTCATTTAGCAAACGTCAACGAATGGAGTAGAATTTGTGGAGCCCATTAAGTTGATAGAGAATTTTAGAAGTTGCATCATAGTAAGAGCAGAATTTTGCCAACACCAGATGGGAAATTACAATGATTCCATTTAGACATTAACACGAAATGACAATTGTGTTGCATTAGCCATTGGCGGATACTCGAACTAGCTCATATAACAAAAATATACACCTTATAAGGGATTTATTTCTGGGAAAACAGCAAAGTCTGGGTTTGGATCCCTATGAAAGAGACTTGTTTGTGTTCTTCAATTCCGGTAAATTATATTAATTATGAGTGCATGTGTTAAATCGCAATACTGAATTTTGTTTATAATTGTTATTATCAGTTTTAAGCAAAAAATTGGATTACTAACACTACTACGTTTTAACTTATAGCCTTGTCTGAATTATTCCTAAGATAATAATAGTTTGAAAGCTGCCTTGAATTAAGACAAACAGAATCAAATTAGGCCACTTTTACAACTGCAAAGTGAATTTACTTAAAGGAAGTCTTATTTTTTTGTTTCCTTTACGGAAGTCATGATTTCCCACATTCTCCGAGGTTTAAACCTCATTTGCGTTATTGTATAATATCTTTTTGCGTTGCTGAAAATTGCATAAGTGTTTTTAACCCATAATGGATTAGTTTCTAACTGAATTGAGACTCATATGTAAAGAGTTTGGATTGCCTTTAATTCTAATACATAATTTTGATCATGTATCGTTAAAATGTCTGAATATTAACAGTTGGTAAAATAAGGTTTGGCCATTGGCGGGTGGAGCAGTACTTTGCTTTGATTCCACAATTTATCATTCCACACTTTAATCGATTGACCATTTTGAAGATTATTATTGCATCCGTCACTCTGAAATATCAAAAGCTTGCAACTGATGTCTACGAAAACAAGCGAAATGAAGCATGCATGATAACGCTGCCTCTTTCTAGCTCTAACACACCTTTGTCAGTTGGCCAACCCCAAAGCACCTGAAAGGCTCAGCAATATGACCTCATGCTGACCCGATGGTAATAAATATAAGTAGGAACCCACTTGATGCTTGATTAATGACCTTACCTTAGAGATTTTACTGCTATCCTGAATCTAGATTATGGATATACATTCTCATGTATACTTAATTTCAAATATGTCCACTGAACTCATGTTTTACTAACAAAACCTGAACCAAAAGCCTGTTCTGACTTTTGATGTTCTTATTAACCACAAATCCACGACCATGGAAGCTAAATATTCTTTTCACCAAAATTCACGAGTTCACTTACTATAAAAGATATTTTTTGCTTATTAAAACTATCGTCTTTGCACACCACTGCAACGAAGGAGCATCACACTGTTAATGGGGCTTAAAGATTCCTATTCCAAGTGCTGATCTGCTAAAATTTCATAGTCATGTTAGGCATATTTATAATCACAAGGCATGGGCATCAACTGCAATTGAATAATTGTCCCTATTTCTCACTTTCATCAAATGCCGATTTGTTTTCTTCCAAAAAATTCGATTTAATTAATTTTGTTCAAATTTTTATATTGAAAAACCTGGTTTACTTGGGCAATCTCATTTTCTAGCATTTACTTTTAGTTGTTTTGAATCAAGCTGTGCGTTTCAAGCACTGAAACAGGTTTTACAAATAGACAATAATATTTTATCGTTTTGGTGACCTAACGGTGACCTCTCTTGCATTTTTTGCATTTTCCTAACTCCAAGGTATTTCCCACACGAAATATTGTGCTGTTTTTTTTTAATTTGTACTAATAAATCCAACCTGCTGCGAAACAAAAACGTAAACATTGCAATGTTAAATATAATTTGTATCTTTAATTAAACCAGTTGTTCACTTTAATTTGCTCCAATTCAAAGCAGGAAACAGTAAAATGAATCTGAATTTTACGTGGCTCAGTACAGGACATGTTTGTTTTTCGCACTTTGTGAGGTGCTCTGGGAATGACATCGTTAGGTTAAAATGTCCTGTTTCGTATGCGTATTGAGATGAGCTTACGTGTAATACCTTTTCCTTCATCTAGTTGGTGTTCATAAACATTAATACAGGGGACAAAATGATGACAGTATAAGAGATAGTCTAGAGGATTCGATTTTAAGTACGATGTATTTGTTTCGTGTTTTTCTGGTAGCAGAAAGTAGAAATCCCGTATGAGCTAACACCGAAAGTTTGGGCGCAC